TTCCGGTGAAGCCCAGGCTGGCCTCAAACTCACCATGTAGCAGAGGATGACTTTGAACTTGGTGTCCTTCTGTTTCCTCCTCTGAGTATTGGGATTAAAGCCCCGGGTTACTACCCTGAGTTCATGTACTGCTGGAGGTAAAACCCAAGGCTTTCTGCCGGCTAAGCAGGCACTCTACCAGCTGAGTTACAACTCCCATCGTCCTTAATCTTTTTCATAATTTCTTTTGTTGGATGCAATCCCTAGTCCCTGCAATTTGCTATTTTAAAATGTAGCTCAGTGGTCTTTGGCACGGTTTTCCTAGAATTGTGCAACCATTGTCACAGTCAACTTTAGAACATATTATCGCCTCCCAAAGGGAGCCCCAGCCCTGGAGTTGTCCTTCCCTCATGAACAACCGCAGACAGTCACGCCGGAGGAGTCACCCACTCCCGTCACCTCATGTGAATGGAACGATGTGATGTGGCCTCCCGTGTCTAAGCCTCTTCCGAGCAGCACGTTTTCCAGATCTCTCATGTGAGCCTGCGCTTCTCTGCACAGGTGTTATGCCAGCGTGGCCAGTCCACAGCTGCTCTGCACACTCAGTTGCTGGTGAATGTTGGGGCTCCCACCTTGTATATAGATGACTGCTAAAATAGCAAAGCAAACATTCACAGCCAGGCTGGTGTGGGCATTCTGGGCAGATACTCTAGAAAGGATTACAGGTCTTGCGTGATTCTGCATCCCAGTTCTAGAAAAATGTCAGGCGTGCATGTATGTGTGCATGCGGGTGTGCATGCATGCATGTGTGTGTGTGCATGTGTGTGTGTGTATTCTGGTAACAGCGTTACAAATATAGAATGACATCTTGCCGTTCTTTGTTTTTAGGGTTTCATTTTTGTTGTTTTGCTTTGTCTGAGACAAGGTGTCATTCGATAGCCCTAGCCGTCCTGGAACTCACTATGAAGAGCAGGCTGGCCTCAAAAGCACAGAGATCTGCCTGCCTCTGCCTTCCAGGTGCTGGAATTAAAGGCGTGCGCCACCACACCTGGCTTTCATTTTCTTTTTCTGGAGACAGGGTCTTGCTATGCAACTCAAGCTGTCTTGTCACTATCAGCGATCTCCTGCCTCAGTCTTCTATTACTGGCTGGAATGACAGGCGTGGACCGCCATTCCTAGTTTAGGCGGTGGTTTCGTGTTGCTGAGCTGTATGATTCTCCATGGGGACCGACGCGAGATGCGAGATAGATGGTCTGAAAAACTTCCCCATTTGGAAGGTTTTTTTTTTCTTTTCATTTTCCTGGATCCACCATATAAAAGTTGTTAGCTTGGATGATGTTCAATACGAGTATTTTTTCTTCTGTTGCCTGTTTCGTCTGTTCGCCTGTGTCTTTGTTCCTTTGGTTGGGGGAGCTGAGTGCTTCATGAGTGGAGCTGGCATGAACATGGGCTTGCACACATGTAAGTAGTGAAGAGGGAGCAATGCTTCTGGGCACAGATATACGGGGCAATTAGGGAAAGCTTGCTGTGGGGGCGGCTGTTTTATGATGCTGGGTAGGGGACCTTCTCTCTGTCGTGTGAGAGATTCTTGGCATGGGTCTAGGATCCCGAAGCCCATTCACGTTGTGGGGTGTCTCCTCCCCCTCCCTGACACCCTGATCTCTAAGCTCTTCCTTTCTGAGGCCACCCTGAGCAGTGAGCAGAGAGGCCACTAGACCGGAATCACATGGGATAACTAATTTTGACTTACAGAAGCTGTCTTAAATTGGATAGAAATGGGTGAAAATAGGATTAAGTGGAAAGCCAAGCCAAGAACAGACGAAGGAAAACTCCCTATGAGCCGTCCGCCTGGCTGAGCGGGCACTCAGAGGTGGCCGGGTGGGAAGAACACTGGACATTGCTGGGTGATTGCATCACATCCCTGGGCAGCTGCCCACACCACCCCAGCCAGACTGTGGCCGTCTCAGGGCGGGAAGATAGGGTGTGCGTTGCTCTCCCTGTGGCTGGTTTATCTGTGCGGAGCTCATTCTACCCCAAGGATGAGTTTGGAAACAATTAGAATTCCGTGTAACACAAGCAGAGGCCGGGTGGCCAGCGGTGACCCATGAAGGGACTTTACCAACAGAAATCTCAACACAAAGGATCGAGTTGGCCATAAACTGGAGAGCAAGGATGGAGGAGAGCCTGGAGCAAAGATGGCGGCGGGTGTGGGAGAGCAACTCCGAGGCTCTTTCTAGCCCCCTTGCTCCCGCTGCCCCCACCCAGGAACTCTTCCCTGTCCACATGTCAAGAAAAGGCAAATTCAGACTCTGTGAAGTGCCTGCTTGACACAAGGACTGAGCCGATCCCCAGACCAAGTGTTAAAGACTTCAGACTAGTAGTGCACACTTGGAATCTTAGCTCTGGGGAGAGAAAGGCAAGGGGATCCTGAGGCTTGCTGGCCAGTCAGCCTAGCTTTCTAGGCAACGCCTGAAACAGTGAGAGACCCTTTCTAAGTGTCTGATAAGCCACACCAGGACACCAAGAGCTGTCATCTGGTCTGACTACGTGCACATACCCAAACATACACACCACACCACCACCCAAAGAGAGAGAGTGGGGGTGGCCAATCCCTCTGACTCTCCAGGGGTGGAAGCCAGGAGTCTGCAGACACTGCCGACTGAGCCTCAGCAGGGTCTCCGCTTCACAGCGGTGTGGCACTGCCGTGACTTACAGATGCCCTTTATCCCAAGATTACTTTTGGGGTATTTGTGGGCCCTGTCCTCTGTGCGGCTGCTGAGATGCACGTGGCCGTTTTCCGGCATTTGAAGGAATCAAATTCAGCCAAGAAGCAGCAGGGGATACGTGGCGACTCGGGAGGCAGAGGTGACTCACACACCAAGACATCCCCAGGGTTCCCCAGAGCTGAGGTATGCGAGGACCACCAGAGCACAGTGAGCTGACACACGCCTCTGCACGTTACCCCTCACAGCTTCCTCAGAGTCTAACGTGTAGACATGAGCAAGGGCACTCAGTGCCTGGCCTCAGAACACACCCGCTGGTCACCCTCAGGGCAGTGGTAGCACGTCTTGGGACAGCTTCAGGGGGCTCCTCCTAACCCCCTGGCTTCTGTTCCACAGCCTAGGCTCTTCCCATTCACACCCACTGGTCTTCAGATTCATGGACCCCAAGCAGTTAGAAGCCTGCCTTTGCTCAGGGGCAAGAACATGAGTGCCCAGAACCGGCTTCCAGGGAAATGCCACTGTGTCTGTACCCTCGGATTACATGCCACTTCTGAGTATCCTTGAGTCCCGGAGTGACAAATTGCAATGACCAGGACAGCAGGTTGTGAGCAAACGCGAGTGTAGGAGCGACTGTGGTCTGTGCAACATGTGAATTACATGTGGGGACACACCAAGGGGTCCCTTACTCCATAGGGCTGAGGACACAGCTCTCGGGGCAAGGCTTTCTGAAAAGGATGGGTGCAGGAGAGCGAGAGAAGGGTCCTCCATGGAGGAATAGCCCCCTTTGGGAGCACTTTGGGCTCCTCGTCTTCCTCTGTGCTTTCCATCCAATCAACGACCTGGGAGCTGGTGAGAGACTTGCCCCACCATAGCGCTGAAGAGTCTGTGATGATCTGGGCTCCCCTCTTGCCTATGCCTAGCTAAGTAGCTACACAGTGCCAGTGTGGACAGGACCTGGTGACGGGTCCTCCAGGGACCTGGCTGAGCGGATGTCTATTCTGGCTCCCTGATCCATGATGGCTCTCTGAATCTCTTGCTATTTAAAAACAGGCTCCCTCCACCCTCAGGCAAAGTGACAGGTGGCTGGAGACCAGGATCATGTGGAAGCTAATATGTTAGTGGTCTGGAGTAGCGATTATGACAAGAGGAGGCTACCCCCAGAAAATACTGTCCCCTAAGTGGGAGAGAGATTCCTGTCAGCCTTAGGTTACAGTCAGGCCCAGGTTCGTGAGGTGGCCGGAAGCTGGGCCTGGCTCCTGCCCTTTTGGCTTCACTCATGGTGATCTGGTGTCCCTCACACCCTAAAAGAAAACCTGGAAAGCCTCCCAGACCTGCAGGTGTGGAGGGGCTTCCCAAATTTCCTCCTACAGCCTCTGCCTGAGGCCCCTGAGGGACCTCACCCCAGTGTGACCCTGGCCGGGGGTTTCAAGGTATGTAAGCAAACTTCTGCTTCTGGGCGAATTCCCCAGCCAGGGAGGAGCGGGGCTTTCCTGCCAGAATACAGAGTTCAGCAGGCAGTGGCCTGAGTGACCAGCAGTAGGGACAGGGGGTGCTCGTGTCTCAAAGATAGGCATGGCTCCACCTGCAGCTTGCTGCAACTCCAGGCACAGAGCAGAAGATGACGGGTTAACCCGCCAGCAGCTGGGACCCCAGGGAGCTCTGGAGTCCTCTTACCCTATCCATCCTGGCATGAGCCCTGGAAGGAGACCCTCAGAGATTTCAGAAGCATGTTGGTGGATCTTCGATTATATCAGTAACTGGCTTCCTCCAGCCTGTTCCTTTGGGCTGGGAATATCTAGTATTCCCCGATGGATCTGATACCATGACTATTTCCCTTGTGCTATGTTCCAGTTTCTGCCTCCCCATGAGAGGTGGCTCCTACCCCTAGGAGCTAGGCCATGCCAGCACTTGACCAGCCTCATAGGGTAGACACTGGAAGCCTCAATCCCTACTGCTGCGGGCCCTGGGCTTGTCAGACCCTGACAGCTCAGTGTTGGCTAAGGGGTATCCTGTCTTCCCCTAGGAGATCCTGGAGTGCAGGTCAGGGGTGGCAGTACACTGTTCTCTCCCTGAGGTGCCTGTAAAGTGGGTCTTGAGGACTGGGCCAGGAGTAGACTACTTCCTGATTTTCCTGGAAAACTCCCTTGGAATCTACTTGGCCAGAGGCCAAAGCTCCTCAGGGGCATCTTCCTCCTTCCCACTTCAGACAAAAGCACACGTGGCTGTCCCACCCAATGAGGGCAGAACTCCCTGGGATGATTCATCTGTACTTCTCCAGAAGCCCTGGCCTCTCTTTGTGGGGCAGGTAGGGCTGGGGACCACATTCAGAGCTGGTGAGTGACAACCCAAGGCTAAGTTCTCCCGAGCCAGGTAACATCTCTTGGCAGACAGGGTTCTGTGCTCATTGGTTCCCACCTCCTAAGGGTGGGTCGCAGTGTAGTCGGAGGCACCCTATGAATCCCAACTAAACTCAGAAACCCTCTGTCCTCTCTCAGTCAGGCCCTGAAGGACAAGTAGGAACCACGTTGGAGAGTCTGGACCCACAGGTCCAGATGTACTTCTAAAGATCCTAAGCTGCCACCCAGCAGGTATGACTAGGGGTCTGATTGACTGGTGGGCTGGTGGGCTGGACTGGTGGGCAGGGGCTAGAGGGCTGGTGGACTGGTGGGAGGGGCTGGTGGGTGGAGCTGATGAGTGGGACTGGTCGGCTGGTGGGAGGGGCTGGTGGGCTGGTGGGTGGGACTGGCAGGCTGGTGGGAGGGGCTGGTGGGCTGGTGGGTGGGACTGGCGGGCTGGTGGGAGGGGCTGGTGGGCTGGTGGGCGGGGCAGGATTGCTGGTGGGTGGTTGGGTGGAGGAACTCCACACTCCAGCTTTGTGGGGAATCCACAGAGAACAAGCTGCACCTCCATGCCTCTATTTCCTGATACTTCCCTTTGCTCTTATCTCTTCCCAGTCGCCATCTTTGGACTCCTCCCTCAGCCTCAGTTTCCACATTTGGGTAGTGGATAGAGCAGCCTCTGCTATGCTGACAAGGATAGGCTAAGCACCGCATGAGCATCCCAGGCAGGGAGTGACCAGGCCAGGCCGAGATGGGGTCGGTCTCATCATAAACATCAACTGAACCGAGGAGACCCTAGATCTGAGGCCCAGCCTCCTTCTGCCAAGCTGGGGAGAACCTGGTCCTTTGGTCAGGCTCCAGTGCCACAGTTTCTCTGCCTGTTAAGGGGGCAGAAGTGGCAGGATGATAAATGACAGGGCATTTGCTTCCCTCCAGAGGTCACAATAGAATGCTATAATGTCTAACAAGAAAGGCTGAGAGGGTGCTAGGCACATTTGGGGCTTATGTGGTCTCTTTCCTGCCTCATTCCTGATGACCAGGCTCCAGGCATCCTGCTTAGTATTTACTGGGCTGTGCTCGCCAGACAAACCTGTCTTTTGCCTAAAAGCATATTCAATTCGGTAGCTTCAGGCGCCACCTTCTCTTCCGCTTCCCAACAGAGTCTCTTCTCTCCGATGACCCTAAAGGATGACATCTGTGATTTAATTGTGGCTGGCAAGAAGAGCTGGGGCCAGCAGATCTCCACCAGCCCCAGATCTGGTCTTGGCCCCCAGGTCTGAGTCCTCCATGCCAGGGGACACATGAAGCTGGGTTTCCCGAGCCTCTTGGTCAAGTGATAACCAAGGACTGGGCTGAGATTTGGACTCGCCAGGGGCACTGGAGTGGCACCTGCTGTTCTCACCCGTTGGCTCAGACATGGAGAAACGTCAGCTTTGCTTTTCCAGGTAGTGCCACCCTGGGCATGGCTTGCTCCTCTCCCCTCGGTTCCCCTGTCTGTATGGAAGTAGCGTTTACTCTACTCAAGACTTTCTATGTGGCCCCCAGGTGGTGTATGGTCAGCAGACTGGGGTGAAGCAGTGGTTCTGGACGTGTGTCCTGCTGTCTATACTCTTCCTGCAGCCCTTGCAGGCCCCCAAATGTGGAGTGAAGCCATCCTGTGTATAAAGTACCTTATCACCCAGGCACTCAGCCGAGAGCCGCTCACAGGCCTGTCACTCTGTCACGTGTAGAGATGGCTACTGTTAGTCAAAAAGCACCCTGGGAGGAAGAGGCGAGGGCAGAATCAGGCAGCTGTGTCTGCATTTGTGCATAACATGGCGGGCTGGCCACTGGCACAACTGATTATGTCTTGGGCCCCTGTGTAAAGGCAGCTAGCAGGGTCAGTGCTTTATGCCCCTGGCAGGATCCAGAAACTTTTTCCCTACCTTCCCGAGTGTTTGAACCCATTCCATCTGGAAAATCTGCCTTCTGCAAGTGGGTGAATGGTTTAAATACTACAGTGTATTTCACATCTCCAATCTTTTTTAAAAATTGTTATTGATATTTCAAGACAGGGTCCCTGACTGTCCTGGAACTGACTCTGTAGACCAAGCTGGCCTCAGACTCAGAGATCCACCTGCCTTTGCCTCCCAAGTGCTGGGATTAAAAGTGTGTGTCACCACCATCTGGCCTGATCTTGCTTTTTTAAACACAACCCCTAGGAAATCCCACCTGTGCAGGCAACTCATATTGGATGTTGCTGTCTTGTGGTGACATGACCTTGTGGTTTTGAAATCAGAGACCCTCCCAAGGTCAGGCCTGCTGATGCTCTCTCTGGGAAGGAATGAGAGGAGGGTCACCAGACCCACAGTTCCACCACTGTCTCTCTCCTGATCTCCTAATGCACGAGATCCTACCTCAGCTGTACATGGCCTCTGGAGGTGCTGGAGGGTATGGGGAGAAGCTGACTTAAGGAGGAGGGTTCCATTGATGTGGCTTTGAGGGGTTGTCACCTGTGCTGGACGGGGACTTTCAGTGATGCATCTGGGACATCATGTTCTGGTGAGTACCTCTCTCTCTCTCAGGTTTTAATTAACCCAGTGAACGAGCTGGTCCACCAAGCTGCACGTGGCCTGCTGTCGTTGTCTCCTCTCTTTGGACAGTCTCATCTTGGGCCAGGCTGCTCCCCATTTCCACAGCCGCTCTCTCGTTCACCCCAAGTGTGATTATGGTGACTGCGGGAAGGGAGAGGCCCCAGGGCAGCTCCTGCCTTTAGGTTATCAGGGCCTTCTTCTTTCATGGAGAGAGGGACTTGACGTTGCTAAACTGAAAATGGTGGGCCTCAGGCATGCACACATAACCCTCACTGGTTCTGTGGTCCTCTACCGCATAAGCACAGACAGGAAGGGCTTGGAGACACATTGTGTTGATGGTGCACTCAGGAACTGTAATGTCCTGTCATAGATTAAACTGGGGCCCCAGACAGTCAGGGTCTCGGAGGCCAATTCAAATGGAAGTCACGGCGGATCAGTGGCACTGATCTGAAGACAGCATCACTATGGAAACTGGAAGGGAACAGACACAAAAGGGCAGTAAAAGATGCTCAGGGGAGGGCTGAGGAGTGTGCCCACAGGTCAAGATGGCAGCTGCAGAGGCCAGGTGCCCCTTCCGAGGCAGAGAAGCTCTCCGCATGCCCTGACCGTGCCACCCAGGCTCCCGGACTAAGAGAAAGTGGACTGTGCTCTTTTTGAGTCACTTGGCTCAGGCCCTGGGAAACGGTATACGGCTTCACGAAGGTGGCTGTGCCCAGGCCTCAGCTCAAGTCATCCCATCAGCTAACCCCTCCCTTCCAGGAGCCAGCCTTCCTACCCCCGCCCCGTGAGTGTTCTCAGCACCTCCGCTCCGTAAGTAACTTCACAGGACCATATGCAACAGGTTTCATTCTTTGTCCCGACTGTGAGCAGCAGAGGAGGCTCAGAGAAGCTGTGCCACCTGCACAAAGTCACACAGCAGGCTTGACAAGAAAGTTTTTCCATTTTTACAGAAAAGAAAGGAGGCCTCCAGTGGTAGGGACCTCTGGTCAGGCCCATCCTAAGAGCCAAAGAGTCCAACACAACTCAAGAGAGGCCAGTATATGAGTGTCTGGGTTCCTAAATCAGGTTCTCGCCCCAGTGATTTCTATAGTGGTGGTACCTCTGTGTCCTGCTGCTTGTGGATGCTCTCCTCCCCATAGGGCTGTCCCACTTGCATGGAGTCCCAGACTCTACTCACCAGAGTGGACAGAGTGGAGAGGCTGGCAGGGATATGGGGGTTGGGAGTCACAGGACCTGAGGCAGATCCACGGGGGATAGGGATACCTAACTGCCATTTGCTCCTGTGTTGCATCAGTACAGTAGAACTTTCTAGAAGTTTCAACCCAGACACACCCAAAGGGAAGAGGCTTGGGGTCAGAAGGCCAAGATGGAGGAATGAGGCCATGAGTCCAGACAGTTCAACACTGGATGCAAGAGGAAACCAGAAAAGCATCTTAGTGACTTCTCTTGTTACTGTGACCAAAAAAAATCCCACAGAGACAATGTGGGGAAGAAAGGTTCATTGTGGCTCAGGGTTAGGCTCATCATAGTGGAAGCATGAAGTGTGAGTGCTACCCACAGGGATGGGAGCATGAGGCAGGGGCTCCACCTACAGGGGTGGGAGTAAGAGGCGGCGGCTCCACCCACATAGGTGGGAACATGAGGCGGCAGCTCCTCACTTCTTGGCAGACCGTGAAACAGGTAAGATTAAATGAAGGCGTGGCTCTAACCCTCAAGACCCAACCCAGGTGACATACTTCTTCCAGAGTGCACAGAGTGGGAACTGCTCCCCGCAGGCTCTGCAACATCCCCAAACAACACCAGCTGGGGAAGCCAGTGCTCAAAACATGAACCTGTGAGGGGAATAGTTCACCGTCAAACCAGACTGGGATGGGAGGAAGCTGAAAACTTTGGAGTTTGGACGCTGACTTTTCCCACAGACCTCAGTTCCTGACCCCCATACCCTCAAGGGAACAGATCTGTGCCTGAAGTCCCTCTATGCTTTGAAATCAGTCATAGCAGTACCATCCACATCTTGTCCCTGCAGTTGGCCGGGTGTACAGACCCAGTCTTGAACAGGGCTTCTAGGGTTTGCACGTAAGTTAGACCAGCGCGGGACCCTGGGGCCCTTCATAAGCCTCCAGGTTTTGCATTTGTATAAGGGGACACATGTAAGGATTCAGGGTTGATCCAGGACAAGTGATGCGTCTCCGTGGCCACATCAGCGTAGGTCTCAACCCCTATGCGCATATCCACATGTAGAGCTGGCTCCACCCTGCCTGATGGGCCCAGGCTGGGCTGCGCCTCATGGCCCCACAGCCGCTCCCTGGCAACTGTCAGCTTCGCCTCCTGTTTTAAATTGCAGCCTGGTAGGGTTCCTGTGGCCCCTTGCCCGTGGCTCCCCTCGGGCTTGGCAACCAGGAAGTGCATGGCCCTTTGAGGTGCTCTGGGCTGCTCTATCCAGCAGGCGTGGGCTGGGTGGAAAATGACCTCAGAGGGCGGGGCAGCGGGGCAAGCCTTAGGGAGACCAGGGTCTCCTAGGGCCACCAGGTTCCCACGCCTCAGCTGCATCCAAACACTGTGCCTAGATCCTTGGTTCTGTGAAGTAGGAGGAAGACCCTCATTCTTAGCCCGTTAGAAATGCCTTATGCTGCTCAGCTCCTTGCAGGCTAGTGTGAAGGGAACAGAGGGAAGGGTGGGCGGAGACAGGTAGTAGGTGACCCTGCTCCCACAACCCAGACCCAGATATCATGCCTCCACCCGTGAAGATGCAGTCAGGACCCAGCATGGACAGTTGTGGACACTTAGGTCAGATGAGACAGTGGCATCGGGATCACAGGGTAGCAAGCTTTATTACAGGCCCAAGAAAGAGCTCTCTCCAGGGCATTTAGACCAGGCAAAGTCTAGGCACTCATGACAGGCTCACAGGAGAGGCAAGAGATTCAGGGTACTAGCAGCTAACAAGCCATTTCTTGGCAGGAGGACCAGGACATAGCAGTGAGTGTTCTCTTAACGGCAGCAAAATTCCTCCCTCAGAGAAGCGACCTGAGAGAGGAAGGGTTTCCTTTGGCTCACGGCTCATGAGATACAATGTAGCGTCGCTGGAACACGTGTGGCAGGAACTTGCGGGTTCAGCTTGCGGCTCCACTTGAGAACATTTGGGTAAGAAGGAAGACTGGGCTATAAGCTGGAAATTCTGCCACCTTCACCATGCCTCAGGCCTCATGGTTCCATTACGTCTCCGAACAGTCCCACCAGCTGGGAGCCAAATGTTTGGACACAGGAGCCTGGAGGGAGGGCAGAGGGCATTTCACATTTGAACCAGAACAACAGGACAGGGCTGGGGCCCCAGTGGAAGCTGGGATGAAAGCCCTTGAGTTCACACAGGGCCTGAAGTTGTGATCATCTGGCATGGCAGAGGTTACTGGGCCAGAGGTTAGATAGAGTCCCTGCTTTCTCCACCCGATCTAGCTGAGTATACCACCTTGGGCAGAGCAGGGAAGGGTGTGGCCACACTGGTTTCCTGCTGGTGGGACTCAAGGACAGTTTGCTCTGGTGGAGCTGGCAGGCTTTGTCTCCTGTATAATCCCTGTCTCCCATACAGATGAGAAAACTGAAACTCAAGAAGCTAGGGAGCGGCTCAAGGCAGGTGCCCACCCTCAGATTGATCTATCCACACACCTGTATTCACCCACCCTGTACTCAGGGTCACGTGGGAGAAGACTGTCAGTCCCTATAGCCTCTAGTGGGCTTCTCAATCGTGAGTCCAGATGTGGTCCAGGATCCCAGATTGAGGGAGGTGACTCTCTGGGTAGCTGCTGAAGATTCTCATTGTTCCTTGCATGGACACATCACCTTGACCCCTTCTCTGTGACGGTGCCTTCTCCAACTTTGTGTCTTATGCATCATCACCCACAAGGACTTGGAATCTTTCAACCAAAGGTGATCTGATCTAGATGCCAAACTTCACCATATCCTGATCCTGTGCCCGTCAGTCCCCATACCACCCCCCGTCACAGGCACATGAGGGATGGGATCTACCCTCCATTCCCCCGGCTGACTCCTATTCCCACTGTGCTCAGCATCATGGGACAGAGAGCTGCCACAACCTCCAAACCCTTGCAAGGAAGTGTCAGAGCAAGATTCTGGTGACACGCACAGCATCTACTCAAAGAATTCTCAAA